CATTGTGCAATCATCGGCGAACATCCCCACCTCTGACCTTATGATGGAGGGAAGGTCATTGATGAAACAGCTGAAGATGGTTGGGCCAAGGACCCTACCCTGAGGAACTCCTGCAGAGATGTCCTGGAGATGAGATGATTGACCTCCAACAACCCAAGTGTCAGGTATGACTCCAACCACTGGAGAGTTTGCCCCCGATACCCATTGATTCCAGTTTTGCCAGGGCTCCTTGATGCCACACTCAGTCGAATGCAGCCTTGATATCAAGGGCTGTCACTCTCTGGAATTCAGCACTTTTGTCCATGTTTGAACCAAGGCTGTAATGAGATCAGGAGCTGAGTGTCCCTGGTGGAACCCAAACTGGGCGTCGCTGAGCAGGTTATTTCTGAGCAAGTGCTGCTTGATAGCACTGTTGATGACACCTTCCATCACTTTACTGATGATCGAGAGGAGACTGATGGGGTGGTAATTGGCCGGGTTGGATTTGTCCTGCTTTTTGTGGACAGGACATACTTGGGCAATTTTCCGCGTTGCCAGGTAGATACCAGTGTTGTAACTGTACTGGAACAGCTTGGCTAGGGGAGCAGCAAGCTCTGGAGCACAGGTCTTCAGTACTTTGCTGGAATGTTGTCAGGGCCCGTAGCCTTTGCAGTATCCAGTGTCTCCAACCGTTTCTTGATATCACATGGAGTGAATCGAATTGTCTGAAGACTGGTATCTGTGATGCTGGGGACCACTGGAGGAGGCCGAGATGGATCATCCACTCAGCACTTCTGGCTGAAGATTGCTGTGAATGCTTCAGCCTTATCTTTTGCACTGATCTGCTGGGCTCTTCCATCATTGAGGATGGGGATATTTGTGGACCTTCCTCCACCTGTGAGTTGTTTAATTGTCCACCAGCATTCACGACTAGATGTGGCAGGACTGCAGAGCTTAGATCTGATCCGTTGCTTGTGGGATCGTTTAGCTCTGTCTATCACTTGTTGTTTATGCTGTTTGGCCCACAGTTGTCCTGTTTGGTATCTTTCTCAACCCCATTTTCCTGCCTTCTTCCTGTAACCTTTGATCCCCTTTCCCCAAGAACCTGTCTCTCTCTGTCTTAAATACACTCAATGACTTGGCCTCAACAGCCTTCTGTGACAACGTGTTCTACATATTCCCTATCCTCTGGCTGAAAAAATTTCTCCTCATCTCAGTTCTAAAGGGTCTTTCCTTCAGTCTGAGACTGTGCCCTTTTGTCCTAATCTCTCCAACTAGTGGAAACATCATCTCCATGTTGACACTATCAAGGCCTCTCAGCATTCTGGAAGTTTCAATCCCAGATTCCCTGTTATCCTTCTAAACTCCATCATGTATCGGCTCGGAGTACTCAACCGCTCCTCATATGACAAGCACTTCATCCCTGGGATCGCCCTTGTGAACCTCCTTGAAAACCCGTCCAAGACCAGCACATCCTTCCTTAGATACAGAACCCAGAACTGCTCACAATATTCCAAATGCGGTCTGACCAGGGCCTTATATAGCGTCAGCAATACGTCTCTGCTGCTGTACTCTAAACCTCTTGAAATGAAAGCTGACATTGCATTTGCCTTCCGAACTGCCAACCGAACCTGCATGTTAACCTTAAGACAATCCTGAACTAGGACTCCAAGCCCCTTTGTGCTTCGAATTTCTGAAGCTTTTCCCCATTTGGAAAAATCATCTACGCCTCTTATCAAAAGTGCATAAGCTCACACTTTCCCACATTGTATTCCATCTGCCACTTCTTTGTCCACTCTGCTAGACTGCACAAGTCCTTTTGCAGTCTCCCTGCTTCCTCTGCACTACCTGTCCCTCCACCTGTCTTTGTGTCATGTGTAAACCTAGCCACAACGCCCTCAGCTCCTTCATCCAGACCCCCGTAACCCTTGATTTCTCTATTGATCAAGAAGCTATGTATCTCAATATTAAATATACACAAGGATTCTGCTGTCACAACTCTCTGTCGTAGAGTTCCAAAGATCCACAACCCTCTGGAAAAGGCTCCCCCTCGTCTTAGTCTGAAATTGGTGCCTCTTCATTCTGAAATTATGACCTCTGATCGTAAACTTTCCCATGAGGGAAAACAACCTCTCAGCATTTACCCTGTCAAGCCCCTTAAGAATCCAACATGTTTCAATGAGATCAGCTCTCATTCTTCCAAACTGCAATAATTCTCAAAACTATGCTATTTCTGGCTACTTTATGAGCCTCTGATTTTAATATTATGCATCCTTAACTTCCTTTATCAGTCACAGTTGACTGACCTATTTTGAATTTTTTCAGTTTGACGGAATGTGTAGTTGCTGTGAGCCGTGTAGTGATTCTTTAAAGGTTATCCATTCTCTACATAAGATATGCCTTTTAAGGTGTTTTCCCAATCTCACTCAGCCATTTTATGCCACATGCTTTCACAATTTCCCTTATTCAAATTTAACACCCTCACTTCAGTTTGAACTACCTCTCTTTCAAACACCAATGTAAACTTCTACCATATTGTGGTCACTTATCTCTAAAGGTTCTTTTACAACAAAATTACTAATTTGCTGCTTTTCATTACATAGTAACGTAGCTAAAGTAGGTTGAATGCCCTTAACTTTGTCTTTTTGACATCATTCTGCTTTCAAACAGCTTGAGCTCAGCTGTGTGTTCCCCTGTCTGCTAGGCTCCCTCACAGCATTTCTGCTTATAGTTGCCAACTTTACTGTCTCCAATTTGGGTTTCCATTCCCCCAACAAGTTAATTTAAACCCACCCCACTATAACCACCAAATCTCCCTGTGAGGCTATCAGTCCCAGCCCCATTAAGGTGTAACCCATCCAGCCTTGTACAGGTCTCACCTGCCCAGAACTGGGTCCAATGCTTCAGAAATCTGATGGTCTCTCTCTTACACTAGTTCTGTACATACATGTCAATCAATCAATTCTCCTGTTTTTATGCTCTCAAGCAGTTGGCAGTGGGAGTAATTGTGAGATTAGTGCTCTTGAGGTCCTGCTTTTTAATTTCCTTCCAAACTCCCTGAAAACTGCCTTCATGGCTTCGTCCCGCTTCCTAACTGTCATTGGTGCAACGACATAGGAATAACAAGTCAAACCAAATCAGCCTCACTATTACTGGATTTGCAACACAGTGAGTTTAAAGCATTCAATGACCCTCAAAATTGCTCAGTTGTTCCAACCTAGACTTTACAAATTACAGATCTTGGACACCAAGTTTATAACTAAAACAAAATTAGCAATTTATTATTAAGAATTCCATTTCAGTAGCTCACAGATAACACCAAGGCAATCTAATTAGTATCTACAACCAAATCCCAATCTTCGTTGATCATAAACCCCTACTCTCACATCGACAGACATACACTGTTAAGGCATAAATGTTTTTTAAAAATTGTGATTTGCCAATTTGTTAATAATTTCAATGATGAATACCAGGCGTTTCAGAAATCCTTGGTTGTATTACAGACACACAGGACTGTGTACTTTGCTTGAATTCTGAAGTCACCAGTCAACAGCTTCTGCAGATCTCTAGAGACTTTTTGCTTAATTCGTCCAGACTGGGGTTCTTTTCTCAGAACTTTTAACAAGTTGATAACTGGAGAATAAATAGAGAGATCGAAACTGAAAACGGCTTCCAAAACAAAGCTGCCTCCTTCCAAAAACCTCAGTCAGAGCAAGTTCTCTGTTTGCTTCTCTTTCTTTTTCAACATTCTCTCTGACTGGCCAGCACTGCTTCTCCCTTGATTGGTCAATTCAACATCCAACCATGTACCAGTCCCTGAGCATAATGACCTCTCAGTGTTGAATCACTTGCAGTGTTCTGACAGCAGTAATTACTTGCATTATCTTTCCAGGCCAGTTCCCAGCAGCAAACATCAGATTTTTGTTCGCTCCTCTTTTTAATACAAGCTGCCGTTCTAAGTTCAATTCTCAACTGTAACTCACAGTTCCAAACCAAAAATGAGAAAAATAAAAGAAAAATATTGATAGTCTCAACAGTATGTCAATGTGGATGACAACTTCTAGCTGGCTGATTCTCTTAGACTACCTGGTAGTCACCTATACCCTGTCTATCTGTACACCTCTGATCTGTGTTGTGACCATCTCCCCATTTGTGCTGTCCATGTAGTCCTCTGCCTTGTGGATATTCACAGTGACTCCAGCCTCTGCTCACATTCCAAAACCCTGAGTTCCAGCTGATACAGATATATTTGTCTGGGACACATGGTGTGTCCATGACTTCACACATTCCCTAGGATATGCACTCCATTTGGCCTAGCTGACCTGCCATCCTATAAATCTAAATACTATTTATCACCCTTAAAGTAAGTATAGATTGTAATAAAAACTTACCAGTAATATAACTTTATTTCACTTAGGTTAACTTTATTTTCCTTTGATTTATTTTATTATTTTGTTTTACTCTGACTTAATTTAACTTTACTTCCCTTCTGGTCATGTTTCTTACTGAAATATGGTCACCACGTTAAATAAAAGCTAATGCCTACAGACAACCAAGCTCCCTGTAATCTTCATCAGCTCCAACTCTCAGACATGACTAAACGAGGAACAAGAGAATCCCAGGCAGTAATAGCACCTGGTGAACAGTCAGTTGGAAGATGAGGGGACAGGAGTCCAGGCCAATAGATATATTGTGTGTCTATTGGAGATAATAAGAACTGCCGATGCTGGAGTCAGAGGTAACTCAGTGTGGAACTGGAGAAGCACTGCAGGCCAGGCAGCATCAGAGGAGCAGGAAGGTTAACGTTTTGGGTCAGGACACTTATGAAGGTTTTTCTGAAGATGGGTGCTGACCCAAACCATCAACTTTCCTGCTCCTCTGATGCTGCCTGGCCTGCTGTGTTCCTCCAGCTCCACACTGTATGAGTATTATGTGTGTTTTGTCTGTGTGGTATGTGTACGTGTGATGTGTGTGTGGTGAATGTACTACCTGCAGTAATGTGAATGTTCCTGTTCTTGTAGGAAACCTGGGCAATGTGCAGCAGAGAAACCAGCGCCGGCGAAAACCAGTGGCACACAGCAGAGTCAGCCGGGCCGCCACCTCAAGGCCAGAACGGATCTGGCCCGGAGGAATTATTCCCTACATCATCGGAGGAAACTTCACTGGTCAGTGCGAGTCAGGCAGACGCAGTCAAACTGCTCCAATCAGACAGTGCCACAGGAGTGTTTTAAATTAGAACCCCTTTGTATTTCATGCTTAATGTCGACATTAATCACAGCCAGAGAAACTATGGAAACAGCTGGCACGTTTGATGGGGACAGTGTAGAAGAATCTTTACTTTTAAACTAAAGAGTACAGGGAGATTTACTCTGCATTTAACCCTGTGCAGTATCTGCCCTGGGAGTGTTTGATGGGGACAGTGTAGAGAACATTTTCTTTCAATTTAGGAGTACAGAGAGCTTTACTCTGTATCTAACATTGTGCTGTTTCTGTCCAGGGAGTCATTCATGGGCACTGTGTAGAGGTACCTTTACTTTGAAGAATCATAGAACCCCTACAGTGTGGAAACAGGCCATTTGACCCAACAAGTCCAACTGCCCCTCTGAAGAGCATCCCACCCAGACCCATTCCCCTACCCCTGCATTTCCCATGTCTAACCACCTAACCTAAACATCCCTGGGCACTACGGGCAATTTAGAATGGCCAATCCACCTAACCTGCACATCTTGGGAGGAAACCAAACGCAGACACGGGGAAAATGTGCAAACTCCACACAGACAGTCGCCCAAAGATGGAATCAAACCTGGGTCCCTGGCGCTGTGAGGCAGCAGCGCTAACCACTGAGCCACCGTGCCACCCACCATGCTGTCAGTTTAAACATTGTGCTGTACCTGTCCTGGGAGTATTTGCTGGAGACAGTGTAGAGGGAACTTCACTCTGTATCTAACCCCATGCTGTCCCAGACCTCAGACTGTTTGGTACTGCACAAATGAAGCTTCACTGTACTCCGTCAAGTTGTCTCATGCTCAGGCACAGAAGTCTGCTCCTCATGTGCAGTACGATCTCTTCAATATCCTTCAACATCCTTTTGGAATAAGGATAGGGATAAGGTTAGAGTTAGGTTCCAAATGATAGTTCCAGATTGTCCGAGCTGTTAGCCTCAGTGAATCCTGGAACATTCTGAAACATTTACCTGGACTACAGTACAAATCAAGAGGATGACAGCAATGTCATTAACATGACCCAGGTTCGGAGGAAGGGTCACTGGACCCGAAACGTTAACTCTGTTTTCTCCTCCACAGATGCTGCCAGACCTGCTGAGCTTTTCCAGCAACTTTGTTTTTGTTCATTAACATGAGTCTTGTCTGGTGTACACACAACTGTAGGATGGTTTACAGGCTGCAGTTTCAACTTTATATTGATGGAATCTAACAGTTAGAATAGGCCTCAACCACACAATGGAGCAAACAGGGCCACACAAGTTAACACTACAATCAAAGATACAACTTACTCTCTAACTGAGGAGCTTAATGGGACAGGGTGTCGTTGATTTGACTATTTGCCATGTATGTGGTCTCGACTAAATGATTGTTTTGTTTGAAATGGTTCAGGAACCCAGAGAGCCATATTTAAACAAGCCATGAGACACTGGGAGAAGTTCACTTGTGTCACATTCGTGGAGCGAACTACTGAAGAAAGTTTTGTTGTTTTTACCTATCGACCCTGCGGGTAAGTGAACTTGGTCAGATTTTTATAAAAGAATAAGTGTCTTATTTTAAGGAGATAATGACCAGCAAAATGTAAGGATTATTACTGGTGAGTAATCCTGTGGCCTGCACTCATTTTTTTTCCATGGGATATGGATATCAGTGGCAAGGCCAACATTTGTTGCCCGTCCCTAATTGCCCTTGAGCTGAGAGCCTTGCTTGACCATTGCTGTCGTTTGGTGTTAGAAGTAGACATTAGAGAAGGTAAGGGCATTAGAGAATCAGATATGATCTTTACAACAGTTGATGATAGTTCTGTGGTTGTTTTTAACCAAGACTTTTTACTGAGTTTTGAATTTAAATTCCACGAGCTAGGTTACGATGAGATTCAAACCCGTGTTCACAGAGCATTAGCTGGGCTACTGGATTATTAGTCACCATGAAGCTGGCAGCTCCCCCTGAGGCACTGTAGGAAAAGGAGAGGGTACATCCTGTCAGATGGTTCCCTGAAAAAAACTATCAGTCGTTTGCCAGAGTTTCCAATCCAGTGCCAAGATGCAGCTTAGCTGATGGTGAGAAAGGGCTGAGAATCTCCTCCCTGTGCATCTGCAATCTCATTCCTTCCTCACCTTGAGGTGGCTATAGTGGGGAAGGAAGAGACTGTCACACATCTCCTTTGGAATGTGCTTTGGCAAAGTTTTGCAGAAAGATGCGGTGGTGTGTATCCACATGACACTGGACTCTGTGCACTTGTGGCTGTTCCCATATAAGTAAACAGAGACAAACCTCAACTGCACCTGGGAGACCATTGACTTTGTGAAAGACATGCTTCAATTTTCCTGAAACTTATTGGTCTTTCAGTGCAATGAATTGACAGTGACTTACTTGCAGCCTGGCACATTCCAAAGTCCAGAACTGCATACCGAGGGATGCACTAAAGCTTGGGGCAGTGATGGCAGAGCTGCATTGCTGAAAGTCCTGCCATTGTATACACTGAAGTGACAAATAGACTAAAACCCCATCACTGTGGAATGTATATTATAAATATGACATGCGATTGCACTCGGATTGTAGGACCTTAAAATGCTAGGCACTGTGTGGACACAGTGTACTTTCAGTCATTTCCAGTTTGAACTGCTGTAGAACTTTACTCTTACAAAATTATACTTTGACAATTGTATTTTAAAACACATCCCATGAATGAATGCAGAACAAATCACATTCAGGCCAATCCTAGCATGGATGGAGAGCTTGCCAGCTTCCTTTGTACACACAGGGACCTTGCTCAGACTGCATCCTTATCCAGTTTGTAAAGTGCCCACTTGCTTCAGTTGGCAGCTTAACTCTGAGATGCCAGGCTGTGGGGTGGAGCTGCAGTGAGGGGTATCAACCAGACAGGCACTGCAGCAAGGAACTGGTGTAATGCTGCCCCATCCCTCAGACTGGCCCTCCCAGGTAGAGGTGAAAAATCCTGTAGTACTAATTTGAAAAACAGGGGATTTCTCCTTCTATCCTGCCAATATTTACCAACATTACAAGGAGAGATCATTGTCTCATTATTGTTTTATTGCAAAGTTAATGTCCATATTACAGCAGTGACACACTCACAACTATTGCATTGACTTTGAGATGGTGTTATATCAATCCAAGTCATTTTGGATATCTGATTGCAAAGTTCTCACAGCAATCTACTCAAAGCAGGGAGTCCCACTGCTGTCCCGATCAACATTCCTCCCAGATTATTTGGTCATTCACCTCATGTGCAGTTTGTGGGATCTTTCTGAGGAACCTGATTGTCACACTTCTTGCATGACAACAGTATTGCATTGGCTGTAATGCAGTGTCACAGGGTGGCTGTATAATTGCAGGTGAGGAAAGGATGTTTTTGGTGGAGAGAAACACACTGAATGAGGTCCCAGCATCATGCAGCGGTTTGTTGCGGTTCAGTGAGCAGTCTAAAACTGCATTGTGCCTCCAGGTGCTGTTCATACGTGGGCCGCCGTGGGGGTGGTCCGCAGGCTATCTCCATCGGCAAAAACTGCGATAAGTTCGGGATTGTTGTTCACGAGTTGGGACATGTGATCGGTTTCTGGCATGAGCATACCCGGCCAGACAGAGATGCCCATGTCAGCATCATTCGAGAAAACATACAGCCAGGTAATGCCCTCCTCCCTGTGTGTGTGTCTGTGTGAGTGTGTATTTGTGTTTGTGTGAGTAGCCTCTTGATGCAGGGGTGCGAGAGTAGGGAGTTCCATGGGACGGAAGCCTGGAGTACGGGGTAACTGGGAGGGGGGGTGGTAGCGGTGAGGAATATTGGTGGAGAAACCCAGGTTGGCTTCAAGAGGATCACCTGACCAAATTACTGTAGGAGACTCTGGGACGCTACCCCAAAGCATGGGCAGCGAGGTAGGCTTTAATGAGGAGAGAGATGGAGAGGTTTAGAGAGGAAATTTACTGGATGCCAATGGTGGACTGATTAAAATTGAGAATGCTCAAGATGTGACAATTGGAAGAATGCAGAGATTGCGGAGGATTGGAGGGCACCATTGGTGGATGAGTTTTTAACCATCCTCCCTATGCTTCTCCACCTCATGTTCCTCCTTCAAGAATCTCTTTTAAAACCTACAGTTTTTGATCAAATCTTTATTCATCTGACCCACAATCTCCTTGTGTGCTCTGAATTCTTTGGCTGTTTTGAGTGTTCCTGTGAAGCACTTTGGGATGCTTTATTACATTGATGGTGTTAGGAGTTGTGGTTGGCAGAGATAACAGTGACTGGGACCCGGGGCAAACCCATTGAGGAATTTGAAACCAAGAATAAGAATTTCAAAATTCCATATGCCTTCAACCTAACATACAGCATGACCTCCCTCAACCATTCTAGTTATTTCTCTAGGGTGGCACAGTGGCTCAGTGGTTAGCACTGCTGCCAAGGACCTGGGTTTGATTCCACCCTTCGGTGACTGTCTGTGTGAAGTTTACACATTCTCCCCGTGTCTGCTCAGGTTTCCTCCGGGTGCTCCAGTTTCCTCCCACAGTCCAAAGATGTGTTGGTTAGGTGGATTGGCCATGCTAAGTTGCCCGTAGTGTCCATATGAAGGTTAGGTGGGTTACCCATGGGAAATGCAGGATTATGGGGGTAAGGGGTGGGATGCTCTTCAGCAGGTCGGTGTTGACTTGGTGGGCCGAATGGCCTGCTTCCAGACTGTACGGATTCTATGATTTCCCTGAGCTCAGTGAAGTTTGTTAGACACCATTTCCCTTCAGGTAATCCACTCATTTATTTACCAACGTTCATCTACAGTTAGCAGTAGGACAAATAATAATTGGCATTGGGCCAATTGGTCTGTAGTTATCTGAAATATCCCCATCTCTCTCTTGTGGACTTATGCAGTCAATTTTCTTTGTTACAGTTTCTTTATACTAAAACTCTGCCCTTCAAATATTTGCTAAATCTTGCTGAGAGTGATTGGTAGCTACATTTTCTTTCTCATCTAAAAAAAAAACCATGATGTATTTGCAGTTTAGTCAACTTTGGAAAGATCCCAGCATGCCTTCTGATTTCAGTCACGTTTACTGCTTCTGTGTTCCTTCATTTATTTGCTAAATTCTGCTCCTTTCCCAAGCTCAAGCTACATCTATTGCACGGTCCACCCAACAGGATTCTTGATCCACAAGCGTGACACGAGAGGAGACACAGAGGAGTCCATATCCATGCTGACAATTCCATTCCTAATGCTGTTTTTAAATTCTATCTTTCACAGGTGTGGGTGACGCTGGTTAGACCAGTATTTATTGCCCATCCCTAGCTGCCCTTGATAAGGTGGTAGTGAGCTGCCTTTTGAAATGCTGCAGTCCATATGCTGTAGGTAGACCCACAATGCCTTTAGGGAGGGAATTCCAGGATTTTGACCTAGCGCCACTGAAGGAACAGTGATATGTTTTCAAGCCATGATGGTGTTTTCTTCATTATCCAAAATTCCTTCATGCAAAATGAGTTAATCTCAGCAGTGATCAGCTGTGAGATGAGACTGAAAGTTTCTGCTCCTGACCCATCATCGATTCCTACCAGAGACAGTGTGGGTGTAGGTATTGGGTCAGCTTTGACTTTTCCACAGCTCAATAATCACAAGACTCTTGCACTAACTTTGTAAGCTGCCCTTCCCAACATGAAACATCCTGAGTCCGCAGTGTGGGCCTTTTGAATAGGTTTATAGCGTTGCAGTCCAAACCCCAATCCAGAGTGGGTTACAGAAAGATCTCACAGCAGGATAGCAGCCCCATTCTCTGCTCAAGGACAGCAACAGGTTCTGAAATGGGATCAGCAACCTTCTCCCCACGCTGGGTCAGATTACATCCAGTCGTAATCCAGCCAGCACCATGTTGACAGAGGCCTCCCTCCCACTAACTGTCCTAAGACTGGCCAGATTCAGGCACTTGTCTCCCTTTAACATTTTAAGCTGACTTCCTTTAAGTCTCTTTAACACATACAATATTGAATATTAATAAAATTGATTGTGGTAAATTCAGTGGATTCCCAAATATCTCTTGGGCCACATCCTATGAAAATATCCTTAACTCCGCAAAAATATCTGCTGTAACTCCTCATCCTGTTTTCAGGGAGAGGAGTGGCCTGAGCACAAGTGTTCTTGAGGAAGGATCTTTGAAAGACAGTTTTGACCCAACACACTCATATTGTAATATGCTTTTGCTCTGCATTGTGTGTGAACCAGCAGCAGGTCATAGAGTCATAGAGTAATACATCAGGGAAACAGGCCCTTCGGCCCAAACTGGTCCATGCTGACCACAGTGCTCACTCAGCTAGTTCCATTGCCTACGTTTGGTCCATATCCCTCTAAGCCCTTCCCATCCATGTACCTATACAAATATATTTTAAATGCTGCTATTGTACCTGCCTCAAGCACTTTCTCTGGCAGCCCATTCCATATATGCACCACTCTTTGCATGAAGAAGTTGCCCCTCAGGTCCTTCTTAAAACTATCCCCTCTCCCCTTAAACTTATGCCCTCTGGTTTTCAATTCCTCATCCCTGGGAAAAAGATAAAACGTATTCATCCTATCTATGCCCCTCATGATTTTATACACCTCAATAAGGTCACCCACCTCATTCTCCTACATTCCAAGGAATAAAGTCCTATCCTGGCCAACCTCTCCCTATAACTCAGCCTACTAGACCTGGCAACATCCTTGTAAATCTTCTTTGCACACTTTCCAGTTTAACTATGTCTTTCCTATAACAGGGTGACCAGAACTGTACACAATACTCCAAGTACAGCCTCACCAATGGCTTATACAACTGTAACATAACGTCCCAACTCCTGTACTCAATGCCTTGACTGATGGAGTCTATATAGACAACATCCACTGCCCTACCCTCATTTATCCTCTTGGTTACCTCTTCAAAAAACTCTAAAAGATTTGTCAGACATGACTTCCTGCACACAAATCCATGCTGTCTATCCCGAATCAGACCTTGACTATCCAAATGTTGGTTGATCGAACAGTATCCTCTCCAATAACTTGCCTATCACTGATGTCAGGCTCACTTGCTTGTCTTTGCTACCTTTCTTAAACAATGGAACAATATGAACTACCATCCAGTCTTCGGGAACAAAAACAGAAGTTGCTGGAAAAGCTCAGCAGGTCTGGCAGCATCTGTGAAGAAGAAAATCAGTGTTAATCCTTCAGGTCTGGTGTTAACACTGATTTTTTTCTTCACAGATGTTGCCAGAACTGCTGAGCTTTTCCAGCAATTTCTGTTTTTGTTCCTGATTTACAGCATCCGCAATTCTTTCGGTTTTATTCCAGTCTTCTGGAACTTCGCCAGTGGCTAAACGTGAAGCAAAATCTCTGCAAGGACCTCTGCAATTTCTTTCCTAACCTCCCACAATGTCCAAGGATGGACTAGATCAGGCCCAGCGGATTTATCCACCTTAATGCGCTTTAAGGCTGCAAACATCTCCTCTTTGGTAATGTGTATGTGATCCAAAACATCCCCATTTATTTCCCTTATTTCCTTAACATCCATAATTCTCTGCTCAGTGTTTACTGAGGAGAAATATTCATTAAAAATCTCCCCCTCTCCTGTGGCTCCACACACAGATGGCCATGCTGATCTTTAAGGGGACCTATTCTCTCCTGAGCCACCCTTTTACTCTTATTATAGCTATAGAACCTATCTGCCAGATCCATCTCATACCCTAGACAACAAGGTGCAGAGCTGGATGAACACAGCAGGCCAAGCAGCATCATAGGAGCAGAAAGGCTGACGTTTCGGGCCTAGACCCTTCATCAGAAATGGGGGAGGGGAAGGGGGTTCTGAAATAAATAGGGAGAGAGGGGGAGGCGGATAGAAGATGGATAGAGGAGAGGATAGGTGGAGAGGAAACAAACAGGTCGAAGAGGCGGGGATGGAGCCAGTAAACGTGAGTGTAGATGGGGAGTTAGGGAGGGGATAGGTCAGCCCAGGGAGGACGGACAGGTCAAGGGGGCGGGATGAGGTTAGTAGGTA